CCCCTGTTTCCAAGGGACCTAATTTAGCTATCCTTTCTCTTTGATTGTACAGAAACTCAGCAGGGGGACCAGGCATCTCGCTGCTCACCTGGTCTAACAAAGCTAAGCAGCGAGATGGGAAGCACTGAGAGACGTCTCGGTGTGTACCTGCACCGATTGCGTTTGTTCAAACATTCAGTTGCGCTGACCTTTCACTCCTTCGGTTTTGCAAGTCAAGTGCTAAGTATTCACTTAAAGGGCTAATGCGTTTGTTCCAACATTCAGTTGCGCTGACCTTTCACTCCTTAGGTTTTGCAAGTCAAGGGCTATGTATTCACTTGAAAGGGCTAATGCTCACCGCGAATTGCCTGAAGACAAGCTCCACGGAGCAACCTTCTCAAGTGTGTTTTCGCAGCTTCTTCCCACCGTGGTAAGCTGTGTGATCCCTACGTGTTACTGAGAGAACCTTCTCACTCCTCACCGTGGGAGTAATTTCTCTGAAGTTTTTCTGAAATCCATTCGACTGAATTTTCCTGCTCGAAATCAGCTTGTTCGGAGTGTCTCACCTCGTGCACGCGAATTGTACTGCAGAGTTCACTGAAATTCTTACTGAAGTATACTGCAGAGTTCAACTGAATCCAGTCTTACCCCGGAGAAGTCTTTCCAATTTTAGTTTTCACAGCAATTTATATGCGCCGATTTCGGCTTCTCGGCCAGTGCCTCCGGGCCCGCGCCGTTCGCTCGTAAGAGCATTTACCCCACCCCACACCCCCTGCACCTTCTCTTGTTTTTCCTTGCCTTTTCGCTTGTCTTGTTCCTTCCTTCAGGCTAGTTAGGTGTGATCCAGGCTCGTTTAGTCAACGCACGCCCTGCCCCACCCCCTGCACCCCCTGCACCTTTCCTTTCTTTCCTTGCTTTTTCGTTTGTCTTGTTCTTTTCTTCAGGCTAGTTAGGTGGCATCCAGGCTCGTTTAGTCAATGCACGCCCGAACACCCCTCCACCCCATGGCAAAAGAAAAAGAAAAAGGAAAAAGAAAAAAGAAAAGAAAAAGCGAAAAGAAGCGGTCAAATGCAAGGACATCCCAAAGAACATTGTGCTGCAGCGCTGCGGCATCGTCGAGGAAAAGTCAGCTTGCTTGCTACAGACCGTGGAACACACCGTTCGATGGCTTACGACCATCTATACCAGCTGCGCCGGCTTCGGCTTTCTGTGTGTGTCAACCCTTGTTTCCAAGGGACCTAATCTAGCTATCCTTTCTAGAAACTCAGCAGGGGGACCAGGAATCTCGCTGCTCACCTGGTCTAACAAAGCTAAGCAGCGAGATGGGAAGCACTGAGAGACGTCTCGGTGTGTACCTGCACCGATTGCGTTTGTTCAAACATTCAGTTGCGCCGACCTTTCACTCCTTCGGTTTTGCAAGTCAAGTGCTAAGTATTCACTTAAAGGGCTAATGCGTTTGTTCCAACATTCAGTTGCGCTGACCTTTCACTCCTTAGGTTTTGCAAGTCAAGGGCTAAGTATTCACTTGAAAGGGCTAATGCTCACCGCGAATTGCCTGAAGACAAGCTCCACGGAGCAACCTTCTCAAGTGTGTGCGTCACCGCTTGTGTCAAAGGCTCGTTGCAGGGGGCCAGGACTCCCTGGCAGCGCGTCCTGGCCAACAGACCACGCGCCAGGGAGGTGAAAATGTAAATGCGCTAACTTTTAATATATTGTAAAGGGCTAATGCGTGTGCGCCAACAGTTCTTTTCTCCGACCCAGCACTCTTGCAGTTGATTCAAGTCACGGTCTAATCTCTGCACCGGCATTGTATTCACTAGAGTGGGCTGCCGCAACTGATTCAGCTCTCGCGAGCGTCAATCAGAGCGTGTTTCGCCACGGAGTCCCACCGCGGGCAGTGGTGTGATCCCCAGCGAGGGGCGCAGCATGTGCACATGCCCTTAAGGGCGCTCCTTCCCAGATCCCCTGTCTTGCACTTGATCCTTCCAACGTGAACCTTACTCGATCTATCGTTCTGCGCGAGACCATACGCTGCAGGGCTTACTGAGATCAGCTTCCTTCATGCTGCTACGTATTCACATGTCATGCTGCTAGGTAGTCATAGGCCATGGGACCGGATGTACCAGGGACACGCCGCTACGTATTTCCACGCCATGCTGCTAAGTATTCATGTCATGGTTCCCTGGTTCCCTAGGCCGTTCTTCGTTTTCTCAGGTCTTTCTTCGTTTCTAGAGGCCCTTTAGGTGTAACTCAGGTCTTTTGAGTCAAGAGTGCGCCGACTTCGGCTTATTCGCCATGCCTGCGGGCTGGCTCCACTGCACGGGAATTCAGACATTTTTACTTCCTGCGCTAATTAGGGTAACAGAAGGAAATGGTACTCGACACACTTGTGCGTTGGCGCCTTTCCTTCTGTTGCCCCTGTTCTAGTCTACTCAACCCGGGCGGTCTAAGACTAAAGTCCAGCTCGCTAACTTTTGCGCGTAACTCATGATTGCTAAGTAGTTAGTAACTGGTGTGTTTTTGTAACTACACCTACCTTTCTCTCTTGCCCTCTTCGGTTTCTCTTTCTGTCTTTCTTTCCTTTCCTTCTAAGGCTTGTTAGGTGACTATTAGGGCTTTTTATATCGATAATTTGCCGCCTCCGGCAGAGATGCATGGCCCTCTACACCTATCTTTCCTTCTTGCCCTTTTCCTCTTGCTCTTTCTGTCTTTCTTTCCTTTCTTTCCAAGGCCTTTGTCAGGTGGCTATTAAGGTTGTACCTTGATGAGATCAGATTCCAGAGCAGCTTACTTCACGCTGCTAAGTATTCACATGTCATGCTGCTAGGTAGTCATAGGCCATGGGACCGGATGTACCAGGGACATGCCGCTGCGTATTTCCACGCCGTGCTGCTAAGTATTCATGTCATGGTTCCCTGGTTCCCTGGGCCGTTCTTCGTTTTCTCAGGTCTTTCTTCGTTTCTAGAGGCCCTTTAGGTGTAACTCAGGTCTTTTGAATCAAGAGTGCGCCGACTTTGGCTTATTCGCCATGCCTGCGGGCTGGCTCCACTGCACGGGAATTCAGACATTTTTACTTCCTGCTCTAATTAGGGTAACAGAAGGAAATGGTACTCGACACACTTGTGCGTTGGCGCCTTTCCTTCTGTTGTCCCTGTTCTAGTCTACTCAACCCGGGCGGTCTAAGACTAAAGTCCAGCTCGCTAACTTTTGCGCGTAACTCATGATTGCTAAGTAGTTAGTAACTGGTGTGTTTTTGTAACTACACCTACCTTTCTCTCTTGCCCTCTTCGGTTTCTCTTTCTGTCTTTCTTTCCTTTCCTTCTAAGGCTTGTTAGGTGACTATTAGGGCTTTTTATATCGATAATTTGCCGCCTCCAGCAGGGATGCATGGCCCTCTACACCTATCTTTCCTTCTTGCCCTTTTCCTCTTGCTCTTTCTGTCTTTCTTTATTTCTTTCCAAGGCCTTTGTCAGGTGGCTATTAAGGTTGTACCTCGATCATTTTGCCGGCTTTCCGACAGAGATGCATGGCCCTCTACACCTATCTTTCCTTCTTGCCCTTTTCCTCTTGTTTTTTCCTCTCTTTTCCGTTTCCTTTCCTAAGGCTTGTTAGATTGCTATTCAGGTGTTCGTGAGCCTGGACCACCCGCATCTCGATCCCCCCGGAAACCCTACAGCGCGCCGGAACACAACTCCGTGTGTGTGTGTGTGCGCGCGCGTCACCGCTTGCGTCAAAGGCTCGTGACAGTTGCACGGGGGCCAGGACTCCCTGGCGCGCGTCCTGGCCAGCGTCCTGGCCAACGAAGACCGCGCGCCAGGGAGGTGAAAACGTACCTGCACTAACCTTTTAGTTCAATATATCGTAAAAGGCTAATGTGTCTGTTCCAGCAATTCTTTTCTCCGACCCAGCATTCTTGCAGGCCTGGTGACACCGCCTCCCTCGGGTCTTGGGTGGTGTCCGGGGCTGGCAAGGCCAGTCTGGGAGGGAGCATGGCCACTTTGGGCAGGCTGTCTCTAGTCCTTTCTTATGGGTTTCGAAGGTGACGTCAGGCAGTCCGGCCGCGCGGCTTCCGAGGCGTTTCCGTCACAGCAGGCGCTGGTGGTTGGGCCTGGCGACACCGCCTCCGTCGGGGCCGTTGGCTGGTCTTCGGGCCTGGCAAGGCCAGTCTGGGAGTGAGCGTGGGCGTCGAGCTGTCTCCGAGTCCTTTCTTCTGGGTTTCGAAGGCTTCCGAGGCGTTTCCGTCACAGCAGGTGCTGGAGTTTGGGCCTGGCGACACCGCCTCCGTCAGGCCCGTTGGCTGATCTTCGGGCCTGGCGAGGCCAGTCTGGGAGGGAGCCTGGCCACGTTGGGCGAGCTGTCCCCCACTCCTGTCTTCTGGGCTTCGAAGGTGACGTTCGGTAGTCCGGCCGCGAGGCTGCCGAGGCGTTTCCGTCACAGCAGGCGCTGGTGTTTGGGCCTGGCAACGCCGCCTCCGTCGGGCCCGCTGGCTGGTCTTCGGGCCTGGCGAGGCCAGTCTGGGAGGGAGCGTGGCCACTCTGGGCGGGCTGTCTCCTATAGTCCTTTCTTATGGCACTCCGGCCGCGATGGGGTTTCCGACGGAGCGACCTCTTTATGCATGAAAGCAAGGACAAAAGTCGACGCGTCTTGGGAGTGATCTGCTGTGACAGGAAGTGTTCATGCGGGCTTGACCGTCCATTTTTGGCGCGCGCGCGTCCGGCCAGTTTCGGTTTTGCGCAGCACGTGGATGCTGCCGCAAGCCTTGCTGGATTGGGCGACTGCGCCGCACTTCGGACACTTGCGGCTATGCACCCGACCCGCGACCACGCCGTCTGCGACCCGGAAAAAGTTTCCACACTGCTTTCGATGGTGAACTTGCCCCGTGCGCGTGAGACTGTGGCATGGGCGGTCGCAGAAAGGGCGCGTGTAAACATACGTGGCTGCGTCGTGGACTTCTGTCCGGTTGCGCGGCGTTGTAGGAGTCACGGCTCTTGTGGTACTTTGTTGATGCGGGGCTGGACGCGTTACACACCGCTCAACGACATCGGTGTCCACACCATGCCCGGGCACCAACAAACATCGTAACTGCTCTTGTCCTGCGCGGGCGCGAAGACGGGCCAATCTCTGATTGGTCCGGGCGGCGAAGCGGCACACGAATTGTAGCGCCTTGCACCCATTACACATCTGCGTCCCATCTTCTTTCCATCGGTGGCGCTGGCGCCACGCACTAAACTCTCCGCGTGCCTTTCGCACACCACAGGTGCCACATTGCCACCAACCACGCTCCTTTTGCGCACATTGGCGACAAATGCGTCGATCCGTGTGGCGTGTTTTCCAGGCGGCTGCGCCAAAGTCCGCTTCGGGCTTGCGCTCCGCGCACCGAACACACGGCTTCCGCTCTTCGCACGTGAGGCAGACGCGATAAAAGCTGCACTGCGGTCGGTGATACTTCTGCGGAAAATTGACTTCGGCGTGCCAGACTTTGCAGAATATGGCACTGCCATGGCGTGCCGGCTTCCGCATAGCGTTGGCCGCACTCACGACAAACTCGGTCCGCGTCGTCGCGTTTCCATTGCCCTGTGGTAAAGGCCCCCTTTTGCTTGCGTTGCTGGCAAATGCAGCACTGCCGCTCTTCGCAGTATTTGTTCAAAAGCGCGGTCCAATCTATCGTTTCGCCGCGGAGATGTCGCAGCAAGAGCTCCCGACCAACGCCGATACCGCGCTGGAATGGCTTCGCGTCGAATGGGCGAAACAGTAAGAGCTTCTCTCGACCGGGGACACGTGTGAAAGCAACATACGCTGTAAAGGGATTACGGCCGAGTCCGATGTTCAAATCGGTCATGACGCCCTCTATAATGGTCTGCCCCTGCGCAACATGTGCCGTGATAGCAAATGCTGGAGCGACCGGAAATTGCGTTCGCCAAACACGCAACTGTTGCGGGTATTTCTTGTGGCGATCCAGGAACCACACTCTTTTGCATGGCGCCACCGGATACACATTGGCGTCTGGCATCCCACTAACGTGCCAGTTCGTGGCGGTGTAAAACTTGATGTACACGACTTCGGGCAATTTGTTCCAGAGAGCCACACCATCGCCAGTGACTTCCTCTGAAGGTGACGACCACCCAACCACGATTCCTTGGCAGCCTTTCAAAATACCACGTTGCCGATCTAAATGGTCGGTCGCGCGCGCGATACACAAAGGTAACAGGCCGTACAGACCCCCGCACTCCTGGTCGTGTCCTTGCAGCCACTGCATCTTTTCCGTGGCAATGTCCATTTTGTCTTGCAAGACAGTTGCCGAGGCCACGTCCCGGGCCACTGCTATGTGCGCGACTACCTTATGTTCCGCTGCCCAGCTGAGAGCACGTTTGTTCACGTGGTACTTCACGTCATTCGTGGCAAAGATGGCTGCGGGGTCTGCAAAAGCCTTCTGGAACCTGCCGGGACACACGGTCCTCGGCGCACTGCACGCTCACGCCGACGAATCGTGTCGGGGCTCTGACCCACCAATGCTGCGCACGCAGGCGTCCCGCATGCCGGGCGTCCCAGCGTCCAGCTTCCCGGCACAGAGGTCACGTTCCCGTGCAGGAAAGCGTGGCTGTCCTCGGAGAGCTCCCCCCGGCGCAGTTGCTCTTGGACTTCTGTGAGCCATGCGTCGCCTGTCCGTTCGCAGCGGACGAGCTCCGTGAGCCCTTGCATGCCAACCGTTGGCCCGCCCCAGAGTAGCGTCTGACCATGCAAGGCAGTCGCGCTTGCTTCGCCTTTTTCTTCCCTGTGAGCAGGTCCCATGGAACATCTCCGACAAAGGTTCACATTCAGGCCACCGAAAGATTTGGCCAGGCTGAGGTCTCGCATGATTTCGCGACAGCGGTGTTCCAGCTGCGCCAGTAGTTCTGCGCTTACCACGCTGAATTCGTCTAAAATTAACCATCGCCATTGCAAGGTTTGTCGCGCGCGCTGCAACGTACGCAGCAGATTCTGGTTCCTTTCCCCTGCCCAGTCTAAGCCCAATGCATGATGTATGGTGTCTCCTTCTAAGAGTTCTGCCATGACCGCTTGAAAGCTGACGACTTGAAAGCGTATTCCATGTGTCCAACCCAACCTCTGTTCGAATAACTCCTTCCGCGCCATTTTGAGCGTATGCGATTTTCCGGTGCCGGGGCCGCCGTGTAGCACCCAGCGCAGTGGTTGCGAGCAAGGCGTACCGGGTTCTAACTGGCTGTCGTGGAGCTCTTGCAGGATACGCATGCCAAGCTTCGTACACAAACTTGCTTGTTCGGCATTGCAATCGTCCTTGCCCGTCAACTCGGCGAGCCACGTTTGCACGGCCTCCTCAGTCTCGTCAGGCGTGGTCTGCACCGCGGCGACCTGTTCCTTCGGCGCGGCCATGGCGTGTTGCTTGGTTGGGTGGGCCCGCGCTGCCTTGCGCACTGCGTCTGCCGACAGGTCTGCGTACGCGTTCGGTGGCGTGCGCCCCGACACATCCGGCGACATCGGCGTCGACCACAGTGCGTCGGCTTGCTGCACTGCCTTCGACGCGATGGGCGCGATCGTCGTTGTGGGCGGGGCCGCTGCGGTGCGAGTGCGCGGGCAGTTGTGTGCGAAGTGCTCCCGGTAGTTGCTCCGGAGCCAACACGAACGGCTCGTCCGCCCCGTCGTCGTCGCTGTTTCCATCTGCTTCGGCGCTGGGTCGCACACGATAGACGGAAAGAAAGTTGCCGACGTGCCGCTTCGTCTCTGCACACGGCAGCCGACGCAGCCATCGCCGCAAGGCATCTTCCCAAGACTCCTGTTGGCCGCGCAAGTGTCCTATAAACGGGACATTGTCCGTCGCTTGTGTGGCGTTCAGCTTCCAAGCTCGAAAATAAACTTGCGTGCCCTTCTGCGTTCTCAGCAAACAACCCCTTGGGGACGGGGCTCTCGGCAAATTGCGGGCACTTCGGCCGTCGACGGCGTTGCAAATACCAATTGCGCCGCAAGCTCGCTTTGGCCCCCGCGCTCGGGAACAGACTGCGATCGGAGCTGGGCTCCAATTAAGCACACTGTGTAGTGGGCACCTGGTCGCAAGCGTGCCGGCGCGTCCGATACGGTTGCCAGTAACTTGCGCTGGCCCGCAGGCGTCAGCCGCACGTCCCAGGCAGTTACGGGAGCTGCGTCCCACTCGGTGCGGCTGTATGGAACGCGCGTTGGCACGAGCTCCCAGTGCATGGTAAACTCATATGGGGACAACCACCAGACTTCCGACTGCATGGGGCGGTGTCCATATGCTTCTGCTGGGACGCTTTCGCGCAAGTGTCGTGCTCCTGTCCCCGGTGCAGCCTTCGCGCGCACGTACTTCTGGGGTGGCACCTGTCGGTCAGCGTCTCGATCTAGGGCTTCCAATAGAGCTACATACGCTTTGCCAGGAAAGCTCACAAAATCTGCGGTCGAGATCCGCTCCGCTGCCGCGATTTGCCCGACGCGATGGTTTGTCCGCAAGTTGCAACGTTCGACTTGTCCCCGAACCAAGCCTTTACAGTAGGCGTCGCTGAGGAAACGGGTCGCGTGTCTTTTGCCCATGGTTTGCACGTCCTTGTTATGGTTATGAGCGGTCTTGCTGTACATCCGTGCGCAGCCTACAGTTGTCTCTTCATATCATTTCTACTCATGTCTTCTTGCGGCGCGTCATCTACATCTGCGCCTACTTGTGCTTTCTTTCTTGTCAGCTGCCTCTGATGGCCTCAAGAGCGGTCTTGCTATACATCCGCTGGTTGAGAGCCACAATACGCCACCCACGGACCGCAGTTGGCGCGACGTTGATCACTCAGAATGAAGGTCTTCTCAGCATGGGGTCGGCCAACTTCTGGGTCTCTGATGGAATGCTCAATCGGATCATCCAGTCGGTTCAACACTTGTTGTCGCTCCCCTTCAGGTGACTCGCCCCCGTCTCGCGGGCGCGCGTCGGCCACTCGAGTTAGTTCGCCCTCCTTTTCACTCCCACAATGATCTCGACAGCGAGATCCGAACGCCCAGCAGCAGAGCCGTTTGTCCACCGGCACAGGCCAGGGCCATAGTCATACATGAACCCACTCCGGAGTGGCAAGCCGGAGAAACACGTGTAACCACAAATTGAATGTGTATCACTCACCGACTCACAGCTAACAAGGAATTGGATGTGATCAACCCTTGCTTATATGATATCTATATATATATCTTGTTATCATATATACTTATCATATACATAATTTATATATAAATATCTTCGCCGCTCTCCGAACAGCTTTTTTTCTCTCCAAAGTCGAGTCACCTGTGGGATAGGGAACTGGCGCAACCCTGTCTAGCAATCGAAATTCCTCTCGTAGGACCCATGCAATCCCAGAGGAACCTGGTGCTAAACATCTCACCCAGAGAGAAACACCCAACTCTACCTCCCCGGGTGGGTGGGTGGTGTTTAAAACAGGGAGGACTGTTCGGGCAGGGACTTGACCCAAAATGGCCACGTTGTTCGTCCCTCTAAGCAGACATTTACATTCGTACCTGCGGCACGATCTGTCAATATCTTAGCCGCTCTCCGAACAGCTTTTTTTCTCTCCAAAGTCCAGTCACCTGTGGGATAGGGAACTGGCGCAACCCTGTCTAGCAATCGAAATTCCTCTAGTCGGACCCATGCAATCCCAGAGGAACCTGGTGCTAAACATCTCACCCAGAGAGAAACACCCAACTCTACCTCCCCCCGCAAGTTCCACATGGTGGCACACTGCAACTTTGATCTGCAAAAGGCAGTCCAGAACCCCAAGGCCACGTTTGCAGTGAACATGCACATTTGGGGCTGTGAGACCACTGAGGATATCATTGGAAAGGTTTGCACATTGAGTCGGAAGGTCTCTTCCCGTTTGCCTTCGCAAAGGACACTCGAGTTGGTGCTGACAAAGTCAAAGGCACTACGCCGCCGGCACCAACACCAGGTATCTAAGGGCCTGGGGCCTGGCTTGATATGACTTCATCCTCTCCAGCGGCTAGAGACATGAGCATGCGACGCTGCCGGAAACGTCCAGGGACACTTTTCATGGGGTCGGCGGCAGGGCGGTAGCCCTTAAATATATAGTGCAAAGTGAATTTGCAACAGAACACCACTACTGAGTATCTGACTCTGTTCAGCTATGCAAAGAGCAGCACAGGTCGCTTCAGTTTCTCTTCCGCTGAGGCTTTTTTCACGCATTAGCCTGACACGAGTCCATTCCTTGTTACTAATGCCCTTGTTACTAGTAGCTTCTAGCTACTAGTAGTAATGCCCTTGCCCTCTGATCAGTAGCCACAAGCATCGAACACCATCTGAGTGCCTCAAGAAATTCACCGAGAGCCATCCCTAAACCCAAAACAGGTGTCGGTCGGAGACGCGACATAAAGCGCTGGACGGTCGGTCGGGTCGCTGATCACTCCACCTGAAGGGGCCCAGGTGCTGATCCGGAAGTGTTACTCGTGGCGATGCCCTGTTACTAGTAGCCTCTAGTGCGGTCCTTAAATAGAAAGTATGGTTTGGATTATTCCGTGCACTGACCTCTTTGGCGTTATGTACAACAGGCCGATGTTCGGCCACTACGAGGCATGGCACTCGCATCTCTTAAAAAAGATCCACCGCAGGCCTCAAAGAAGCAGAACTTGGCAGAACTAAGCATTCTCTACCCCCGAACCAATGAGACCCGCTTTCAAGTTCTCCAGAACTTGTGAAACCTTTCTCCTCCAAGAAGTCCAAGTGGCTTGAGATTGCACCGTGCTTGGACAAACCGCACCTCAGGTCAGTGGATGCTCAAGGAGGTGGAGCTCTGCAAACTGTGTAAACACACATCTTCCGAGCATCCGACACAACATCCGAGCCAAGGAGCTCTTTGGGATCCATATCCTGAGACAAACAAAAGCTGTGGGACTGACTGGTTAATCCTCAATTCAATTTCATCTATCTAGGGGAAGATTGGCCTGCTTTCTCTAATACCTTTAAAGAATTTCTCCAGGCCCTCTTTCTCTGTTCTTCAAGCCTTCATGGTGGGACACACAAGGCCTGCAGGGAAGCATTCCGATCGTCTTTCTTCACGATCCCCCAGATCCTGGGATGTAAGGATCAAATCCTTTCAATAGAAGGAAAGATAGGAACGTGGACAACATCGGGCACCAGCTTTCTTGTCAAGAAAACTGTTGTTTCGTGCATTGTAAAACATACAAAATGCTGGAAATTCAGGGCCCAACCCCTGCTGAAAGGCTTTAGGTCTTGGATTGGACTACTAACAAGAAGGAACGTCTTTATCGAAAAGGAAAAGTGGTAAGTAGGTACTAGTTTAAGTAGCTATTACCAAGGACTTAGAAGAGCTCCGATTCGCATGCATGATTTGGTTCCTAGACATTTGGAAACTTCCTTCACCTTAGACTTTTCTGTTCATTCAATCCGTCCTTGCCTTTCCTACTAGAAACAGGAAAAAATGCAACACGCTATTTGACCGCCACTTCCTCTTCTAGGGCTCTCACCAGGCCACGTGAGGCCAAACAGGCATCCAGATCCAGCCAGACTCCAGCCGTCGAACCTTGTGAAAGTCCTCATCACAAAAGAAAATACATTTCTTTTTTTGCCCGCGCGCTCTTCCCCCGCGCCTGCCTAATCAAGTAAGGGAGTAGTTTGCTACTAACTACTCAAGCTACTAGTATGGACGCAGGATAGCTCACGCTCGCACTAATGATTTGGTTCCTAGATTTTTAGAAACTTAACCTCGCTAGGTTAGAGGCCATCGCTAATACTTGTCGTACCCCATCTTCAATTCATATCCAATAGATTCCAATAGTATCCAAAGCCATTCCATCTACCAAAGCCCGGCCAATTACCAATCAGTACAAACTTGTGTCTCAAGATTCTGCCCCGCCCAAAATTTCAAGACTGGGATTATGGCGTCCACTGTAGTGCGCCGCGCTTCCAGCATTTCAGTGAAGTACTTTGCTGTTGGAGTCCAACGTTGCCTCTCCGAAAATCGAAACCCAAAGAATCAAATGGAAGTTGGTCGTCCCCAGTTTAGTAGCAGACTGAACACCTTGTCATGCAGCAAAGGAGCTTTCCAAGGTTTGTGCCCTTGTACAGGTGCTGGCACTGCGGACCTTCTGTACCTTTCAGGTGCTAGAATCATGAGCATCATCATCGTCATCATCGTCATCATCATGATCTGCTGCCAGTCAGAACTGGCAATTGTTGACATGTATTGATAAATGGTGCGCTGTAGACAGGCTTGTTTTTCTACCTCAGCGGCAGGTGTCGCAAAGCAGCTAGCCTTCAGCCAGCCTGTTTCATCATATGCAATACTACCACACTCACGTTATCTTGCGCCTTCCTCTCTTCAATGACATGCTGGACAAGCTCTTTGCAAACACCTCGAATGTCAATGGCATCTGCCTCCAACTCAGCTCGACCCTCCTCGTTGGTCACTAAGCTGTGGGTGAACTCCAAAGCTTCTGCAGCTGTCCAAGCATTCCAAAAGCCATCACAAGCAAGGATGACAAAGCGATCTTTCTCTCTATCCATCTGGAACTTCATGTACTCGGGCGTGCAAAGTACTCCGAACTTTTTCAGGGTCAGATCACCAAAGGCTCTGGAAACCTCCAAGATTCCATTGATGCGTCCGTTTTCCACAGCGCCGCCTGAACGAAGGATCCTGTCTTTCTCCTTCATCATCCAGCACTTGTGCTGTCGCTGCTGCAAGGGGATACACATCGTGTCATCCTGGTCATCAGTGTCTTTCTGTCGGCAAAGGTATGCCATGCTGTCTCCCAGGTTGATACAAATCATTTTCTCAGAGTTTGCCAAAATCATATTGGCAGTGCATCCATCGTAGGCACCCGCAAGCTCGGTCGCAATCCTTGAGTCCATCCTTTGGAAAACAGCCTCGGTGACTTTGATCAGGCGCTTGTCTGTCATTGGGCCCTCTTTTGGCTCGTCATTGGCATAGGCACTGGCTAACTCGGGGCCTAAAAAGGTTTTCACGAACTCCGCTACCTGCTTGCCGCCGTGACCATCAAAGATACCGAACAAGGCAAAATCTCGTTCTTCAGGAAGTTGAGGCACCATGTCACGCAGAGATGGGCAAATGACCGTCTCATCTTCCATTTGACGGCGCATGCCCTTCTCACCATAGGCACCTGCACGAATACCACACCAAGTGACCTCAGCCATGGTGATATTCTCTGCTGCTGCAGCAGCTGCGGCCTTCTTCACTTCTGGGGCGAGCTCAACGACCTGAAAGCAAGGTGTACAAAGAACATGATTGCATCCGTCGGAACAACTTGTTTTTGGTTTTTAAGAGGGGGTAGGCCGCGGAGAGAGGAGAAGAGAGGAGAAGAGAGGAAGGTACAAGCTAAAGTAGTAGCTATTAATTGGGTACTAAACACGCTCCTAGTAACTGGACGCAGGATAACTCACGCTTCTTCAAAGAAGCTCCCCAGCCACCCTCAAGGCGGCGGGGGGGAGCTTCCTTGAAGAAGCGCTCGCACTAATGATTTGGTTCCTAGGCTTTGAGGAAAACTGGAAACTAAACTTGTTCACTGTTATCTAGAGTAGGCGCCACTATAAATCATTCCATCTGCGTCGAACTCTTCCGACGAAGCATTGAAACCTGCCTTGTCAAGCTCTTCTTCGGCTTTGCGCTTCTTTTCCATCGATGGCTGCACTCCCATGGGCAAGTATTGGCCATGAAACTCTGGTTCGGTGAAAATGGTATCTCCTTCTTCCACTTTGTGCTGTCTCAAGGTTTCTTCATCTTTCAAGCTCTTGCCGTTGAATTTGAGCTTGTAGCAGTCCAAACCCTTCTTCTCCTGGATCTTCTTACGGACGCTCTCAATGAGCTCATCCGGGTTCAGGTCGATCTCCACATCATCCTTTCGAGACTTAGACTCAGGTGGTCTCAAATAAACCTTCATGGGCACGAAAGGACAAGCCGCTCTACTTTTTCTCCTTTGAGCCTAATGGCTTCACATGGGAAGACTGGAAACAGTTTATTGGCAAGTGTTTTCCGTTCCAAGTCGACAAGACAACGTTTAGTTTAGATTTGTACAGTAAGTAAAACGTTGATCTGACAGCAGCAGTATTATTTTCATCAGTGCTTCCGAGCACTTAGAGCTGAGTCAACTGCAATGTGACAGAAATGACACGGGCGGAAAGCGCCGGATCTGCACCTCAAGAAATCGATCAAAGAATCAACTAGAGCATAATAGAACAGGCTAAGAATAGTCTTGCGTTATGTGTAAGCTGCGTCCTGGGTCGTGATCAGGCAAAGGGGGCAAGACAAATAGGCGATGGGTTTTCAAGGAAGTTCCCACAATTAATGAAGAAGCTACCTCGAAGAACCCTTGCGGTGCGAAACGGTTCATAGAATTTCCTTAGTATTTAAAATTGTTCCCAAAGCATCTCATTCCAAAACGTCATTGGCTGATGAAAACACTGTCGTATGACTCAGTGGAACAGGTCAGTTGCAGTTTTCCGGCTTGAGATTTCACAACTGCGGGACCAAGTTGACATGCCTCCGAAAAGACAACTGGAGAGACAAAATAATCCTGAGTGTCATGCCTTGTGGGCCTCCAAGTGCAGGAGCAAGTATTGCTCTGTGTTGATCATGTACCCTTCCTAGCAGCTGGGCTGAAAGGGCACTATCAGTGTCTTGAAAAACTTCCACAGGACGTACGTTACCTTCAATGAATTTCGGAACCAACTGGAAGACTATACCACTAATCTGGCCTGTGCGACTCTGGCAAGGTAGCTCCAAGCGCTGCCATCCAGAATCGACTGGCACATGTCACGTGGTCAAACCATTGTATCTGTGGTTCAGACTAAGATAGTCTTTGCATAGAACATCCCATGACAACATATTTTGATGCCCAATGGAGACTGCAAACCAAACTTCCATCCGAAATGCACCAGCCTCCGAAAGAATGCAAAACCATAAACCGATGTACTGATATACACTGCTACATACAGCACGATACAGAGATGTACATACGCGGAATGTGCTGCATCTAGGTAGTCATGGCAAACCTCAAAACCTCGTCCTAACGAGGGCTCTGTGTTGTACCTGATAGCGATTGAAGTAGGCATCGAACCAGCGCTTTGGAACGACAGCATGACGGTCCTGCAGGAATGCTCTGCTCAATGCTTGCAAGCGGAATGACATTAAAAACCGCTTGCTGAGCCGATGACGTTGACACCTTTGAGGGGGTTGAAATTGTAGTTGTTGTTGTCCTGCAAAGCAGAAGAGCGGAAGCACACCTGTTGCCACTTGTTGCAGATCATGGTCAAGGAAAGCACTGCTGCAGGGTGCTAAGCTGCTGAACATTTTTTGCCGTACAAGTCATTCCTGGCCCATTGGTATGTGCACGTACGCTGGGTCCAGCACCTGACCAAACATCAATGCTCGTGTCTCTGGTCACCAAACGGAAGTAAAGAAAACTCAGTCGGGAATCAAGAAGAACTTTGAAGCCTGAGGTTCCATGCACAAACTTACATCATACCTATTACTGGCCTCAACAGGTGGATGTCTCTGCGTCCAGAACATTTCCGCTCGTGCAAAGACCTAAGAGCTGTCGGTTAACGGCCCACATTTTGTGTGGATAGCACAGACAAACTATTCAACAATCCTGGGTCAGGTCGCTGCATCTAGAACTAGAACTAGAACTATCAGAATGAAAAGTTGCCTTGAGTGTCTCCGTTGACGGTCGACGTATGAATCTTGAGGTGATATGGCCGTGCGCCGCACCACCCATTCATACTGCCACCCACGCTGGTTCCTCGAGCAGAGTTAACTAGAGCTGGCAAAACATGTCGTTAATTTTCAGCAGCAATGTCAAGCTAATCATCGCGGCAACCCTGGCGTCTTCTGAAGGGAAGGGGAAAAGCTTCTCTTGAGATGGTCATGCCAGGTGCTTTGCGCTTGTGGAAGTTGTTGCACCTACACCGACACCTATATACATATATATATATATATTTGGTTTCCAACATGTCTTTTCCCAAAATGGTGCACTCATCGCAATTCCATGGGGGCCCGCTTCTAAATCTCCTTGAAACTCCAACCACACTCAAACCACAGGGATGTTAAACATGAAGGCATGTCAACTGCAAAAACTGTGAGAGGTGTCTAGCGCAGACCTTTCCAGGGGCCTGGGGCCTGTTGAGCTGCTGGAGCTGTTGTTGCTGCTACTGCTGCTGCCGGACTTCTGCAGTTGTTTCCCATTTTTGTTCTCAGAAATCTTCAGGACGACATAGGAAGGATGTAAGAGCTGACTCAAAAGATTTGGATGTTGGATGGGCGAATGGTCAAGAAATGGACCGTCGTCTAGCGCGGTGCTAGCGCGGATCTAGCGCCAGCCTAGCGCAAAAATATCCGTCGATTTCTTTATCCTGTCAGATTCTTTTTTCCTGCTTGCTTGTGCATTATGTTTCTTCTTCTGCTTTGTTTTTCTTGTTCTTGTCTTGCTTCTTCTTTTCCTGCTCTCTGCTTGTTTCTTATTTTTCTGCTTGCTTACAGTGACGCCATAGTATCCTGTTATGAAGAAACCTAGCGCCAACCTAGCGCCAATCTAGCGTCAATCTAGCGCTGCCTTGCTGTATCACCATAGTCTGCTGGGGGCCCGCTTCTAAACGAAGACTTAAAAACACATCTCCAACCTTAAAAGTTTACGTTTATCTATATTTTTTGAGTAGGGCTTTTTGAGCGCAGTCCGTAGAGGCTTGGATGCCTTCCCTGCAAAACATGTTTTCCAGAACAAAGCTTTTTGCCAAGGCACTCAAATGATTCCACCATCCTGACATACAACATACACAACTGCAGGGAAAAGAAATAGTCTGAAGTCTGAACCCCGCAGGAATACGTGCAAGACGGCCTTCGACAGCCGTGCTGGTTATGATATCCCCACCTGGAATTGAAAAGGATGTGAGGTCTGATGAGCTTTTATAATGAATCAAATAGTCAGGGGCGAAGCTAAGGCAGCTAAGGGCCTCACATACTACTCCCCATTTGTCGAAAGAGAGGAGCTCTCCATGGCCCTTTGGCCATACCATAGAACCTGGCTGGTGAATCGAAAATGCTTTTTCGATTTTTGGGGGCCAGAAACATTTGACAATCTGCAAGGAGAAGAAAATCAACGTATCAAACTCCACACCTGAGCCAGAAGTTCAATCATTGTAGCTCGTGGTTACCCTACGTTACCCTTGCAAAATTGTTCGTTCCTGATAGCAGCCTGTCTTGTCTTTTGCCTGATCAAATGCTCGTTTAAGCAGTCCTTCGAATCTTATCCCCCAATGATTTGTTTGCCGGAAGCATGCTTCGAAGAAACCGTCTCGCCCAAATGATCCAAACGATTCAGCTCGAGCCAGCTGCGCAATCTGAACTTTGGGTCTTTCAGCTCGCTGATCACCCGTGCCTCACGTAAGCTCCAAAAATCAATGCCAAACGTGGTGATCAAACAAAGGGCAAGCAAGGCACCTCAAAGGTGTCACGGTCCACATCCGGCACTAAAATGGCTGTAACCTCGGAGATGTGTAAATGGACTGTTGCTTGAGACAGAGCAATTGCCTCAAACCTAGTAGCAATGGCCTCCAACCTAAGAGCGATGGCCTCCAACCTAGTAGTGATGGCCTCCAACCTAAGAGCGATGACCTCCAACCTAGTAGTGATGGCCTCCAACCTAAGAACGATGGTCTCCAAGAGAATGTCGAGGTGAATACGCTCCAAAATCTAAGATAGCAATGAGCACTCTTTAGATTGGGCCGGAGCAAACAGACCGAAAAACTGTTTGTCGCAAATGGAGCGCTGCATAAGCCTCAAAAAGCCTCAAGCTGTGACGAGCCTTGGCCTCCCACGGCTTCACCCAATCCTTTCAAATCTTCCTGAGAGCAACTCGCCAGCCGTGGAGAGCAACGACAAACCCGAGCCAGCCTCCAAGGCTGGAGTCAAAAGGCTTTGGAATGGCACCTCATGCAGAATCTGAGTCCGGCGATTCATTTATATATGTAGCTCAGAGCAATACCATCCGCCGACCCCAGCCTAGCTGGCGCCTATAGGCGGGGCGGCGCCTGGGACACCGCAGGGCGGAAGCCGTTGCCAGTGGATGCGCCTTGCAGTGTCAAGCGCAGTCGCCCTGGGCATGGTTTTTGCAGGCTCCAACTGGGACTTGCCCTGAGCTCCGCACCTAGGGTTCCAAAAGCAACGTTAGACAGTTGCGCACAGAAATAGATGGGGGAAGGCTGTGGCAACATTTTGGCTTTCTACAGGGCAGCAGGACTTGTCTGTGGCCATCACCTCGGCTGCTGCTACGCGGCCCCGGACCTCTTTTTCTATAGGGTTCCAAAAAGGACGTTAGACACGGGCCGCTGCCGTCGGGCACCCTTTCCGACTGCCGTTGCGCGCAGAAATAGATGGCGTCGTTTGCCCGGCCTGAAACCCTCCGCAGCGACACCAGCCCGTTTTGGGCAGTCGACAGGGCAGCAGGATTGGTCTGTGGCCATCACCTCGCCTGCTGCGACGCGGCTCCGGACCTCTTTTTCTATAGGCTTCCAAAAAGACGTTAGACACGGGC